TGAACTGTTCTGGAACAGTGTTGTAAATACAACTTAACCACTGATTTCTAGTCGTGTCCTCTTTTGGAAGGGCAAACAAAGTAGTTTCGCTTTCACAACGAAAAAAAAGCGTTACACACCGCGGCCTTGAGTGAGCGGAGGCCGGAGGCCTAGAGTGAGCCGCGGCCTAGAGTATGCGGAGGCCGGCTTGAGTGAGCAGAAGCGGGCGGGCTTGAGAATAGCGCGGCCGGCGGATTCGACGAAGGAGCGTCCGGCCGGGCAACTTTACAGATCTTCTTTATGCACCAAGAGCTTGTAACACTCCAAAGAGAAAGGAAAAATTGAAATCGCATCATATGACCCCTTTAAGCTCACCCTAAATGGCATAACTCATAACTTTTGTGTTTCTGATATAGATAAGATTCCAGTGTCTGGTTTTAATCAGGAGAAGGTAAAGGTGGTCTACTATAGATCACTGTATCCCTTTGAGGCCCGCAGTCATGATGAAATCACCATCCATCCTGGAGATATAGTGATGGTAAGCAGTTTTTAACATTCTTGAGCAGCAAATCGGCATGTTAAAATGATTTCTGAAGGATCACGTGACACTGAAGACTGGAGTAATGATGCTGAAATTTAGCTTTGCCATGACAGGAATAAATTACATAAAAAAATATTAAAATAGAAAACAGTTCATGTAAAATGTGATAATAATTCTTGACAACATTGCTGTTTTTACTGTAGTTTAATTAAATAAATGCTGTCTTGGTGTGTGTAAATTACTTCTTTTAAAAAAACAATTAAAAAATCTTACCAATCTACACTTTTGAATGTATCCACAATTATTTAATTTTATGTTTTTTTATATTATTATTATTATTATTATTGCATTTTGCATATAATTACTCTGTTGTTTACTGTTATACTAAGGAATAGTTTCAGCCCTACAGTGTGTGCTTTTATTTTATGATTAGGCTGCCATTAAAGTTTTAAAGTAGGTTAATTGTATGATGTGCTGATTAATTAATCTAATAAATCGCAAATGAATCACACATCACTTTTGGTTGAGAAATTACCCCCAAAGATAAAGTCAGTATTGTGTTAAATGAGAAAAGCATTATTAGACATTACAAAAGTAGCTTTAGAAAGAAATACATTGCATGTAATAATGTAAGATGACGTCTCGGTCTGTGCCAGGGTGGGTGTATTAAATGCTTTAATAATTTTAACATGTTATTTGTTTGAAAATTAACTGCACCAAGTTAACGCGTTAAATCAACAGCCATAGTTCTGATGTGTGCTTGCCAGAGAGTGTGCGATTGTCTTTGCTTTGTGTGAGAGAGTATAGCCTATATGTGTGCTGCTAGTTTGTACATTTACTGACCTCTGACCCTGCCTGTATGCTCCCTTTGCTGTCTCTGCCTGAAGGTGAAGGGAGAGTGGGTAAGTCGAGGATTCTGCTCCTTGTGCACTTTTATTCATTTCTAGTTTGTCTTTGATGTTCTCTGTTTTGGTCAACTGTCACTGAGCTGAAACAGACCTTGTACAGAGATCATAATATGTGACTACATGTCTGTGTCTGTTGTTGAGTCTTTTGCAAGATTTCAGAGGCTTTGCTGCGTTTGCCATTAGATCACTCAGAGATAATGCCTCTGGGATGCCATGACCATTTAATCCATTTCCTGTATTAAATCAATTAAATGAGTCCTTTGTTTCATCACATACAGTCACAGTGCTCTGTATATTCCAGTTCATGTTTTTCTGATGTTTATTAAGATGCTGTGGTTCCCTGTGATTCTTTATCACCCAGTTATTTGTGATTTATTGTTTTGTCACATCCTGTTTTTATGTCTCTCATTTGCTTTCTCTTGTGTTTCTGTTCTGTCAGGTGGATGAGTCTCAGACAGGTGAGCCTGGATGGTTAGGAGGAGAGATTAAAGGGAAGACTGGCTGGTTCCCTGCCAATTATGCAGAGAAGATTCCAGAATCTGAAGTTCCTCTTAGTTTGAGAGCTAGCACTGCTTCTAGTTCTGCCCCTAAATTGGGTTCCCATATGTCATCTGCTTCAACAACCACAGCCGCACCCTTGCAGTCAGTCTCCACAGAGTCTGCATCGATAGCCCCGCCCTCCTCAGCCCCTGCCCCTCCAGGCCCTGCCTCCTCCTCTTCCTCAACATCTAGTAACTGGGCAGATTTCAGCACTACGTAAGTAATTTGTCCAGTTAAAAAAATGTTACTAGTAAAGACATTTGCAGATTTTTTTTTTTTCAGTTCAGGTGTATCTGCATTCATTTTGATTCTGTGCTCTTGTGACTTTAATTCAGATGGCCAACTAATTCTGTTGTGGAGAAGCAGGACAATGATGGATGGGATGCATGGCCGACCCAGCCCACTCAGCCGTCCCTGTCAGTGCCCAGTGGAGGGCAGATCAGGCAGCGCTCTGCTTTCACCCCAGCCACGCTTTCCGGCTCCTCACCCTCACCTGTGCTCGGCCAGGTACGTATACTCTCTAAAAAACTGTCCCATCCACATGGTTTATTGTGATGTTTTATCAGCTGTTTGGTCTCTCATTCTGACGGCACCCATTCACTGGATCCATTGGTGAGCAATTGATGTAATGCTAAATTTCTCAAAATATGTTCAGATGAAGAAACAAACTCATCTACATCTTGAATGGCCTGAGGGTAAAATTAAGCAAATTTTCTAGCAAATGAACTATTGCTTTAAAGTTTATAAGGCCTATTTCTTTCAGGCTGTTACTTTGTTGCTGCATATGAAAAGCATCATAGCATTGTTCATCATTTCATTAAATGGTCGTTATTTTTAGGTGCTAAGATCTTGTGAGTGCGTTGCTGCTGATCTTTTTTTAGTTTCATTTTTGAAAACTTTTGCTGTCTGTCTTGTTTCCAGGGTGAAAAGGTGGAGGGTCTGCAGGCACAGGCTTTGTATCCATGGAGAGCCAAGAAAGACAATCACCTAAACTTTAACAAGAATGATGTGATCACCGTCCTGGAGCAGCAGGATATGTGGTGGTTTGGGGAGGTGCAAGGGCAGAGAGGATGGTTCCCCAAATCTTACGTCAAACTCATCTCTGGGCCCGTCCGGAAATCTATGAGGTGTGTATCTTGGCGATATATCGTTACCATATTGGTTCTTGGCTAATATTGGTGATTTTTATTAGATGTTAGCATATTGAAATGTTCATTTTTGTTTTTGTCAATGCATCTGTGCAAAATAGCACGCATTTATAACATTATATTTGTAATATGTTGTAATTAATATGTTTATCACTTTTCGAGCATAACATAATAATAAACGCAACAGTTGTGACCCCATTATGAAGTACCAGTTTTATTACAAAAAGTGATATTTAACACACAGTTAGGCGTTTCATCCAGACTGTGATTTTGAGTTTTGAGTGCCATTGGTCTGTTTCAGTATTGAATCCGGCTCTTCAGATAGCCCTCCCAATGTTAAGAGACCCAGCCCATCTCCAAATAAACCCACAGATCTCAGAGAAGGTCAGATTATCAGCGACAGCTCGATGGATCGTGCATTTCTCCCTCTTTCCTTAATCATTTTGTATCTGAAAGTCTTTGTATGATTTTGTATAATCACAGAGTATGTGGCCATGTATACATATGAAAGCAGTGAGCAGGGTGACTTGACCTTCCAGCAAGGTGATGTCATCACAGTCACAAAGAAAGAAGGAGACTGGTGGACTGGGACTGTGGGCGGGAAGACTGGAGTCTTCCCCTCAAATTATGTCAAGCCTAAAGAATCCGAGGTACTTTTGATATAATTTACATGAAAAAAATTGTTATTGTAGTCAAATAAGGAACCTTTTCAACCAGAAGAAAATCATAACAATAGCATTTTTTACACTTTTTTCTAGGGTTTGGGATCTGCTGGAAAAACAGGAAGTTTAGGGAAGAAACCAGGTGGGTGCTGATGTCCTCATGCTATAACTCTCTCATAAATCTTGTACCATGTAACTTTTATGTTGGCTTAGTTAATGTTTGAGTTTTAGGTGGGAAAAAACTGCTTTAAGCAGCAGTTTTGTGGCCTTCATAATTACACCATAACAGTATTTTACTGGTCAATGGTTCTATACTCTATTTTTTTCTCCTTTTACCTGTGTTTTTCTTCTGTGTTCAGAGATTGCCCAAGTGATCGCTCCGTATGCGGCCACCGGGGCAGAGCAGCTCACTTTAGCACCAGGCCAGCTCATTCTTATTCGAAAGAAAAACCCAGGAGGATGGTGGGAAGGAGAACTTCAGGTCTGAATAACACAGATGCTATTAAATACACCCACACTTTCTACCAAAATAACACAAACTTTAAACATTTAATAGAATCTTTAGTTATAGAAGCAAAATATATTTGGTGCTCTGTAATGTTACATCTGCTTATTTGTGCTCAGATTTACTTAATTTAATTTATGACATCAGTGCTTGTGGAATGATATGATATGGTGATGCCAGTGAGATGTTGTTCCTCATAAATTAGATTTCTACATTTTTACATCAGATTCGTTTTAATGGCCCACTGCTGTTGCTTTCTTCAGGCAAGAGGAAAGAAGCGTCAGATTGGCTGGTTTCCAGCTAATTATGTAAAATTATTGAGCCCCAGCACCAGTAAGACCACACCCACAGAGCCCAACCCACCCAAGCTGCCAACACCCAATGCAGGTACATGTAACTTATTGTGCGAGAAACTGGTTTCTCTTGGCACAGATGAAATGTTGACTTTTGTACTTTGCTCTTTTTATAATTAACATGTTTAAGCATTTAAGTATGTCAAGTTTGAGCATGTTGCCTCTTGTCATTTAGTACAGGCTAGGTTACTTGTATAGTGCTGCCTACACACCATCATCAGCTCTGTTTTTCATAGTATTTGCATGTCCTCATGCTTGATAAATAAAGGCGATCTACCAAATAGCTAAGCAAATACTCCAGTAATCAGGAATAAATGTATTATATTATATTATTCAAGAATAAATATAAAAATAGAGATTCTGAAATTAATTTGTCAGTAGTTGGAAAATATGTGAAGATGAACTACAGTTGGACAAAAACACATTTTACATGTGCGTTTGTGTTTCCCCTCCATAGTGTGCCAGGTGATTGGCATGTATGATTACACTGCTCAAAACGATGATGAGCTGCCTTTCGGGAAGGGCCAAATCATCAATGTTTTGAGCAGAGAGGATCCTGATTGGTGGAAGGGAGAGCTGAATGGTTCCATTGGCCTTTTCCCATCAAACTACGTTAAGCTGACCACCGACACAGACCCCAGCCAACAATGTGAGTCCAGAATGTTTTCCTGTATCTTATACATGCACTCACACTGATCCTCTCTCTATCCTGCTCGAAGAACTTAGAGATAACAAATCAATTCTGAAATCCTTTGAGAGACAATTGGCTTGAAGCGTCACCAATAACATCCAGTTAAATGGACTGTGCCAACACAGTAATTTCTTTCAAATCTTTGAGGACCTTCTCAAAATTAGTTTGTCCTCACGATGTGGTGAGTTATAGAGTGTCCATTGTCCACACCGAAGCCCCTCCTCTTCCTGTTTCCAGTCAACCTCTCACCTCATGTTGTAGAGCATTAATTAGACTCTCATCTCTCTTTCTCTCTCTGCCTGCATGCCGGTGTCCTTGTCATTGTGGTGTCCTGTGAAAAGTGTCTTGCAGAGTTCATTTAGTTCTCCTAGCTCGTAAAGATTTTGCACATTGTGGTTTTTCTTTTCTTTTCTTTTGGATTTAGAATTTTTTTTTTTTTTTTTTTTTTTGGCTTATGTGCTGTGTTTTCCTCTTTCTAGGACTCTTATGTTGCCCATATCCCACTCAGCCTTGAAAGTCCTCAAAGCGACCCACTATCCCTTAAACCGTGCCCAGCGGGATGATGGGAGATGGAACATTGATCATGTGACTGCCCCCCCCCCCAGCTGGCTTTGTGGCCAGAAGAGACGAATACGACGATAACGAGCAGTCGTTAACCTCAATATTCAGAACCTGCACATTGGGGTTTTTTTTTTTTTTTTTTTTTGATTTAGAATTTTTTTTTTTTTTTTTTTTTGGCTTATGTGCTGTGTTTTCCTCTTTCTAGGACTCTTATGTTGCCCATATCCCACTCAGCCTTGAAAGTCCTCAAAGCGACCCACTATCCCTTAAACCGTGCCCAGCGGGATGATGGGAGATGGAACATTGATCATTTGCCCGCCCCCCCCCCCAGCTGGCTTTGTGGCCAGAAGAGACGAATACGACGATAACGAGCAGTCGTTAACCTCAATATTCAGAACCGTAGACTCTCGGGCAAAATTGCCAGCCAGCATCCTCCGCATTAAAGCAATTAAATAAACAAGAATGCCTAATATTTGAAGGATCTCTTTCCTTTTTCCTTTGACAAATTCATGAAATTAATCATTCACACTGAATTTGTACATTGAATTGAAACACTAATCAAAAGAAAAGGTGCTGGATAGTGGGTCCTTTTGTGGCTTTCTGTGATCTCATCCCAAAGCCTGTAGGAAAAAAAGCTGTTATGAAGCAACCAATCAAAATGTGATTCCATTCAGTGTTAAGTTCCACCGCTTCATCCGACTAATGCACGCTTTTGCTCCTCCAAGTCCCGCCCCCGGGTTTCTCATTGGACCATAGCACCACAGAATGACCCACTATTCATGAGTCATGACGTAACGGGGTGCAGCATCAAACGTGTCATAACTGACGTGCTTTCTAGTGTCATTGCAAACTCATCAAGGCTCTAATATGTGGAATTGAGACATAGCGACGTGTACAGCATATCCGACCAATTGAAATATCAAGATGTCATACCTTTTTGGATGCCAAAGTGTGTCTAAAACAAGTCAAGTGATCTCGAGAACGAGTATACACCATGTCAAAGGTCCCCAAATGGTCGGATATGTGGACTTCATGTAGAATACTATTGTGTGTCATTCAGAACAACCCCTCCCCTTCACCCCTTCCAGTACATACAGGTGCTGTCAGTCAATTTGACGGACAGGAAGGGCGTCTCAGTTCATCCGGTCCGGTCACATGTCTCTCTGTGTCATTGTTTGTTACATGTTCATACCAAAACAGTGGATGAATTGATTTGTGTTTGTGTGCTTGCAAGTCTCTTGTTTGGTTTTTGTTTTTTTATTTGATTTTGATTGTTTGTTTCATTGTGTTTGTGTGATGGGGTTGAGAATTGGTGTTGCAAACCAAAAAACAACTGCACAGCTGCCACTTAAGGATAATGGTACAGTGATAGACAAAGTGCGTACATGTATAAAATGTTGCTGGAAGTGACGTACTCTTGAAGGGTTTCCTTACATGGTTGGATTTTCAGAGGGTTCATTTCTTGTATAATTGTATTTCCCTTATAGATGGATGAATGCTTTTGTTTTGTATTCTAAGTCGTTTGCTGTCATCATTTTGTCATGTTGATTGAATTTGCAATTATTTTTGAAATGTTGATTTTTGAGAACACTAGATTTCGAGGTGTTCTTGATATAACAGCTCACTATTTTTATAATGATCAAAAGTTGTTATGCATAGTGTTAAAAAAAAAATCCACTGCAGTATGTACACCGTCCTTTACTGGAAAACAACAATATGAAAGTACAAGTAGTGAATAGGATCATTTAGAAAGTCCACATTTTATGAAATTGCATTGTCATGCTTTGAATGAAACCCTAAACAGCATTAAGGAAAACATTAATGTACTGAATATAAGCTTAATACCCTTTTAATCACAAATGCTTATGAATAAATAGACGTTTATAAGTGAAACATGAAAGACTGGAATTTTCTTTTAAATATAAGAACAAGAGACTGAGTTTTAGGGCCTTTAGATCATCCAGTGTTTTTTTTCTGCTTGTTAGAAAGCAAACAAAGCATGGCATTAATTTGTACTACAATATTGTACTGGCAATACACAAACTTTTTTTTTTTTTTTTTTTTTTTAAATCTGCCTCATATCAGTGTTGTAATTTTAATGCTGAGAAACAAGACATGAAATGATGTCTGTGGTTCTTTATTAGTTCCACAGTGTAAAAGTATTTGAGGTTGCTGCTTTATTATTGGCTGGATGGACTGTCCATCATGTCCGTGATCAGTCTCTTGCAAAGTTTTTGGTTTTGTTTTTATTTTAAGTGAACATACCCATCCTCAGAATCCAGAAGCACAACTGCTTCCTTCCCATTCAGTACTCTGTAATAAAATGCATTTGTTCTGAATATCTCACCAAAATGTCCAAAACATTAACCGTTGTACTTGACTATTAAAGCATTTTATCAAAATAAAATGAATGTACAGTTAAAAACTCAACAATATACAACGATTCCTAGCTTTAAACAACGTGTCATACCACCTTTATAAAAAATGTGTAACCATTAAAGAACTTCATGGCAACTGCAGACTGGCTTTATTTATTTATTTATTTTCAATCTGCTACCAGATGAAGCAATTGTGTCAATATCACATGCGTAATGTTTTTGAATGCACAATAATAATTCATTCATGACACGTATAGCATAAAATCAGCATTGCTTGAGTAATATGCCTGCATGCATATTCTATAGAAGTAAATGAACATTTAGTTACACAGCTGTCTGGAATAATTGATTCTGATTGGGCAATCGCAGCATTCTGCGGTCAAATATTTTTGTATAGTTGAGCGTGTTCCTACAATAACTGCTAGTTATGCCTCGTATCACCCCGTCATCTCTTTCTTCTCACATAATGAAGTAAGTTCAACTCAAATCAATGTTGCATGTCCAGTTATTTATTTGATAAGTGTAATACGCTTCATATCAGGCCCTTTGTTTTGCAGTGATCATACATTAATGCTTACTTAATGCACAGAGAAAAAACATTCAGCTTTAATTTCCAGTATTATTCTTACCAGAGTAATACAAGTTTGTTGCAAGTGCTTGATTTTTGTCTGCTTAAATTACAACTGAATTAATGTACTAATTATTTATTAATCTTTTTGTAATGTATTCATCTAAGCATGGGATGTGACTGCATGACGTCTGTGCGTTTCCCAGGGTGTGCCGACCTCCACCTGCTCGACATGCTGACCCCAGTGGAACGGAAGAGGCAGGGTTACACACATGAGCTTATTGTTACAGAGGAGAACTATGTCAATGACCTGCAGCTAGTCACTGAGGTAAAACTCATAAGAAATGAAGGTTTAATCAGGCCTATAGAGTGGCCAAGATCAATAGTAGTCAGGTCTGTTGTTTGATGTTTAAAAAAAGTCAAGAAACTGCTGTTAATAAGTATGTAATTGTATTTTCAAAAGTTCTAACCAATATTTATGGTTTGCTTTCAGACGTTCCAGAAGCCTCTGCTGGAGTCGGATTTGTTGACTGAGAAGGAGGTGGCCATGATCTTTGTCAACTGGAAAGAGCTGATCATGTGCAACATTAAACTGCTCAAGTATGCCACCTACTGATTAACACACAGGAAATCCTGACTCCATCATCAGTTTAAGCTCCAATTGTGTTTATTCTATGATAGAAACTGGTCTAAAGCTCTATAAAGTAATGCAGCATGTCAGGTCATTTAATTAAATGTTCACACTTCGCAGCTTTATGAAACATATGTTAAGACAACTATAAGAATAGATCAGATGTAATTCCATATAATGAGCATTACGTGGCTTACCCAGAATGCCTCTCTGACTGTCTCCAGGGCATTGCGGGTGAGGAAGAAGATGTCAGGTGAGCGCATGCCAGTGAAGATGATTGGTGACATCCTGACGGCTCAGCTTCCTCACATGCAGCCGTACATACGCTTCTGCAGCTGCCAGCTCAACGGCGCCACCCTCATTCAGCAGAAAACAGACGAGGTGCCCGAATTCAAAGAGTTTGTTAAGGTGAGACTATGGCTTAATGCTTCATTTAAGTTTTTTATTAAAATGTCCAGTTTCTATTTTTGTTGTGGTATTGTTTGCTGATTTTAATTGTAACAAGTCATTTTTAAATTGTTTTAACAACATTTTTATATTTTTTTTGAAGAAAAACCACAATGTTTATTGATTGTTAATTCATAATTGAGTCTGCGTATTTTATCTCTGTGAGGCACAATCTGTATTGTATAATCTACATTGTATAAAGGGCTATAGAAATTGACTTGAAATGACTTGCGTAGTTGATATTTTATGTATGTTTGCATGTTTTACAGCGGTTGGCGATGGACCCTCGCTGTAAGGGAATGCCCCTGTCCAGCTTCCTCCTCAAACCCATGCAGAGAGTCACCCGATACCCCCTCATCATCAAAAACGTACGTTGATAATCAACTATTTCCCAACTACTGTATGAAGAACCAGTGACACACTGAAAACGAAACTTTATGTGCTAAAAATCAAATAAAGAAGCAATGTATTCATCACCATCTGTACTCTTCTACTTTGACATCACTTCCCTTTGGCTTTTTGTATCTGGACCCATGGTCTCGTGTTTCTTCTCCTTCCATGCACAGATTTTAGAGAACACTCCAGAAAGCCACCCGGACCACAGTCACCTGCGGCTGGCTCTGGAGAAGGCTGAAGAGCTGTGCTCGCAAGTCAACGAAGGCGTGCGAGAGAAAGAAAACTCAGACCGGCTGGAGTGGATCCAGGCACATGTGCAGTGTGAGGGGCTGTCAGAGGTACCATAACACAAAGTGAAAGTGAAAGTGAAAGTGACGTGACATGTGGCCACAATATCACATGCGTAATGTTTTTGAATGCACAATAATAATTCATTCATGACACGTATAGCATAAAATCAGCATTGCTTGAGTAATATGCCTGCATGCATATTCTATAGAAGTAAATGAACATTTAGTTACACAGCTGTCTGGAATAATTGATTCTGATTGGGCAATCGCAGCATTCTGCGGTCAAATATTTTTGTATAGTTGAGCGTGTTCCTACAATAACTGCTAGTTATGCCTCGTATCACCCCGTCATCTCTTTCTTCTCACATAATGAAGTAAGTTCAACTCAAATCAATGTTGCATGTCCAGTTATTTATTTGATAAGTGTAATACGCTTCATATCAGGCCCTTTGTTTTGCAGTGATCATACATTAATGCTTACTTAATGCACAGAGAAAAAACATTCAGCTTTAATTTCCAGTATTATTCTTACCAGAGTAATACAAGTTTGTTGCAAGTGCTTGATTTTTGTCTGCTTAAATTACAACTGAATTAATGTACTAATTATTTATTAATCTTTTTGTAATGTATTCATCTAAGCATGGGATGTGACTGCATGACGTCTGTGCGTTTCCCAGGGTGTGCCGACCTCCACCTGCTCGACATGCTGACCCCAGTGGAACGGAAGAGGCAGGGTTACATACATGAACTTATTGTTACAGAGGAGAACTATGTAAATGACCTGCAGCTAGTTACTGAGGTAAAACTCATAAGAAATGATGGTTTAATCAGGCCTATAGAGTGGCCAAGATCAATAGTAGTCAGGACTGTTGCTTGATGTTTAAAAAAAAGTCAAGAAACTGCTGAAGTGATGCCAGTAATGCCATTAATATAATCCATATTTTGTTAGTAATTCGTATGTAATTGTTATTCATATATACAGTATATATATAGTATAATTTTAGGGTGAAATAAAACACATTCGACATTGTTTCATGTATCTATAATTTCCTTTATTTTGGGAGGGGAGTAAAGTATTGTATTTCTTGACATTTACCCAATGAGTATTAGCTGTAATAGCAAATATTATATATATATATATATATATATATATATATATATATATATACAGTATACTGTATATATATATATATATATATATATATATATATATATAATATTTTCTATTACAGCTA